CCCTTTGACTTTGCACACCTAGAATAAAGGCCTGGTCACTAGCTATAAAAAGAGAGACATGCAGGCTTATGCTAGTGAGAACAAAATAAACATAGTCCTGAAGACCACAGATTCTGGTGCTGCTGTGATAGAAGATGCCGTTTTCATGTTAATAGTGTAACTTTGCAGTGATAGAAGAGCACTTTTGACTCTCTCTTGTTGGGATTAGTCACTTGATAAATGTCATCACTTCCTTGGGAGTCCTTTATTTATCTGCTAAATTTTCAAACTTGTGTGTTTGCTTCATCGGTGTCCGTCTTGTGCTGCTGCACTAAATATTGTGTAGCTCTATTGACCCAGAACACAGCAATTCACTAATCATTCCTAGAGAGGAAAGCAGCCATTTGGGAGTGAAGCAGCACTTCCAATGTGTCCTCGTTGTGTATTTAACAGGACAGAATTGGTAACAGGATGTCACGTGCGACTATAGTGGTGGATATGCAGAGCCTGCTCTAATTAGCCGTCACTTCAACAAGCCACTGAGGCTTCGGCTTGGGGGTAGGGATGCAGAGAGGAAGAAAACACTTTTGCTGTGTCGAGCAAGCTTTCCACGGAGGGATGAATCTTTCACCTGCCATACTACTGCATGCAGACAACTGTAATTATGCTTAGGCACCCAGCATCATCCTTTACAGAGTTATATTCATGTTTATTGGTGGCAATTAATCTCTAGTCATATTTTCGAAGGAGAAAAAGTGAGTAAGTTAGCACGTTTGCCGGGGAATGTTAGCATGTGACCTGAAATATGGCAGCTCCCTTTAATGTGGCATCTCCCAAGAGAGCGCTAGCTATTTCAGACTCATCTCTCATGGTATTGACATCCACACATGCGGTCTAAAGGGAGCATTTGTACCTCCCTGACATCACCGCTCTCAGGTTGCTTTTCTTATTGATGGTATAGTTAAAGTCTCTGTATCATTTTGACGTTTTTAATGGCATATGCATTTACAGTATAGCTCTTGTGTAAGCTTTAATCAGCTTTCTGTTCACACGTTGTTGCTATTATTATTTATCTCTATTATGGTAACACATAGAGGCTATCAACAAAGGCAGGATTAAAGTGTGCTAGGCTTGGGTTGTATTTTAAAATGGCCTCTCTGTGCCCATAGGACAAGTGGTGCTGATGGTCCTGAAGAGCAGCGGGCTTCTGTGGCTCTGAGGCTGCTTTGCCCTGTATCTCAGAAACTGGAATCACTATCACACACCAACTAGGATTTGCCACACTGATGTAGATAGAAAAAAATACGTCTTGGTTGCTGAAGTCTTTGGTTTCTTCTGTTTTTTAGTTTTCTAACTGGAACTACTAGATCCCAATCCCATAGCTATTCATGCACTGGAGTAGTCTCACACGTGGTCCGATTGAGCTCAGTGGAATTACCTGTATGAATAAGTACTTGGATTTAATTCCGTATCTGCCTACCTTTGTAAAGGTACAGAAGTTACCACAGTGCAGATCTATGAGTTAGCACAACGTAGATATCACATAATGTCTGAATGAAATCACATAGGTAAAAATTTACTTGCAACTCCACAGTCTGTCACTGCAATATGGGACTGCAATAGGAATCACTGCAATAGGAAAGGGGAGAAGAAAGCCAACAGCAGTTGATAAACTTTTAGCAACAAAGATCTTATTTTCATGTGAGATTACTGCAGTGTAAAATCAGGTGAGGACGATATTTCATTACGACAAATTTTACACTAGCACATTGCCAGTGGCTTTCAGTCAGTTCCCTTTGCAATTAATCAGCAGTGGATGAATTGATACCACATTAAATGGCTTTGCTCATTGTGACATATATAGGCTTAAACTGATAGCTAAAAGCAGAAGATCTTTACCATCTGAGGTAAAGACTTAAATCTAGAAGAGGTCAACTTGTCATTGTGTATATATGATCCCATCACTAGAGAGACAGCAGGATGTTCGCCCTGGTTATACACTCATACTATGACTCCAGCTTCAAACCACTTAGAGAACCGTAGTCAAAACCTGCTTGTAGTTTTAAGAACACAAAAAGGAGCCTAAGAAGTGCAAAGGCTGTATCAGGCATTGTAAATGAGAAACGGTACAAGCCCCATCTTTTTGTAATTCTGTTTTTTTCTGTGTCTTCTATGGGCATTCAGATGTACTTTAATCCTCATTTTTATGTCCTCTCCCTAATAAATCCCCTTGAAATTCACATTCTTAGTAGCTATCTGGTATGCCAAGCTGTTTTATTTCACAGATAATTAAAACATTTTGGCTAGCTACGTTGGGCTAAACATACTGAATATTGCGATGTGTACTCACTGATGCCTTGTACTTAGAAGCCTTTGGAAAAATCTGCCTAAGTGCCAGCTGGTTTTCTGGTCACTGCAGGCTTCTTTTATTATCCAGATTTGGTTTTTTTATGATTTTATAACCGATTAGAGGGATTTCTGCTCTTTACTTCAGCATTTTGCTCTTCCCTTTGGCTAGATTGTGGAGTAACATTTGGGAGAAAGGAAACATGACCAAATATAAATAGTAAATAAGTGTTCAAATAAGATAAAAGGAGTTGTGTTTGGGGCAGACACTGTAAATGTGAAACAAGATGCTTGAGCTGATGATGGGAAACAGTTTTTGCCTCCTATAAAAGGTTTGCTTTCTCCTTCACTTTCTTTCAAAGTGAAAAACACCAACTCAGCAGGCAAATCTGATGATTGGAGCACTCACCTGAGACATGCAAGACCAAGGATATAAGTCACATCTTCTAATGAGTGTTATTCATTCATATTAAGCAAATTAATTGCAGCTGGAATTATACCAGCCCAGAGCAACCCACAGTCTGGCAGTAAGGGCTTTAATGTGAGTGTGGAAAGGTAGGAATGAAGTCCCTGAAGCAGGCAGGGTTAAGTTTGATTCCTGCATTCTACTTCCCCATGCGATGGGCTATCGGTTATGCTTGTGTGGTTCAGATTTGTACCCTTTGTGGAGGTGCAGAACTGCATCCCTTGATGTCCAAGTCCTGTGGAAAACAAATCAGTGTTTCTGGAATGGAAATTGCTGGGAAACTCTATCAGCTTCGGCAGATTTGCTCCCTGCCCCAGAAGGCTTACAGAGTCTTAGCAAATGTCTACGTGAAATAAAGACAGATCATCTCTTTCCATAGATTCTCAGTAATAATTTAAGACTTATAAAGAGTAAGATTTTGTTTGCACAGCTCCCAGCAGTGTTAGTGAGGAACTATCATCCCAGTTTACAGCTGTGGGGAAAAATGAGGCAAAGCAATAAAGTATCTTGTGTGAAGCACAGGCAGGATTATGCACAGGGGTATGTTGCACGCTCTGCTCTCTGCAAGACACAAAACCATCTTCTTCTGCATGTGTGTCCTGTAAGACCCTGCAGATACTTCTGGAGACCCTGGGCTTGTCTTCTCAGGGGTTTATTTTGGCCTTTAACCCTGTTGCTCAAGAAACACAAGTTTGTAAATCGGTAACCAGCAATGATAGTTGAGTAAAGTCTCTTTCTCTTCTTTTTCTGCTGCATATCCTCAGACCAACCCATAAGCATCCCACTTCTCAAGGAGAATGACAAAAAGAGTGCCAAAATTAACTCATAGATATAGTTGTCTGGTGTGGGTTTATAACCATGTGCCATAGAAGGAGAGGGATCTGAAATTTCTAGGACAAGAGCTTCGGACTTAGAGTGGGCTTTACATTTACCTTGCTAAGTCTGGAAACAGAGATCCAGGCCTGAGAAGCAGCGAGTGTCACCTGGGGATTAGCTTACAAAAGAATTTGTGTAGACGGCTCTGTTGCTGGGATTACGCACTCGTTTCCTGCATGGCAGTGGATTTTACGCTGGCAGAAGAGTTGTTGGTATAATTGAAACCGGCGCTCTGAGCACAACCGACCGTACCTGGAAAATGATCCGTAACTGTGTCTTTACCAGGGATTTTGCCAGCGACTCTATACTGAATGGAATGACGATTTTCTTCACCCTTGACGTAGCTATATTGAACGGCTAATAAATGGAGGGTAGGACTGCTGAAAAAAATCCTTGTTTTTCTGCTGACCATTTCCTGAGGAAACCTTAACCTCTGGGTGTTTGCCTAGAGCTGTCTGTTTTGTATGCATGCGGGGTTTTGCAGGTGCTGATTGCTCTTTCAATAGCACAGCAGGGTCAAGCTGTTTCTGTAAGGCTGACTTCCCTCTCTCATCCTGCGTATGGTCCATGAACAGGGAGAAGGGATCAAACAGGATTGTCCTGTGAAGGGTTCTCACTGCGCTTTAGTGCACTGTGCAGGGAACCTCCTCTCCGTATCAAGGCCATAGGGTTGGGGGCCCTTCTGTAGTGCTAGTACATACTGTTACTTACACAAAAATTACCTGACATACGCACTCCGTAACTTCATCCCTAAGCCCGGTCAGTCTCATGAAATCCCATCTCCAGTGTTATTTTCTTCCCTAACATCTCTCTACTCCAGGAAAAAACAAAAAACAAACAACAACCAAAACAAAAACCACCAAAGGAGAAAGCCTTCTTTAGATTATCATATTTATTATCTTATGGGAACAGTGCAAAGAAACAATATTTGATGATATTATTAAATCTACAGGATTTGCTTGGCAATACTACCTGCCATTAACTACACTGCAGTAAGGATGTGATCCTCTGCATCTAATTCCACTATAAATTGATTCCTTCCAGCTATCTAAGAGCACTGAGAAACAGGATATTAAAAGATTTAGGTCCTGATCCAATAAGGGTGTTAAACAAGTCCTCAAATTTAGGTATATAACTAGCGCTGCTGTCTCCTTGCATGCTGAAGTTCATTGGTGGATCAGGGGCACAGTTTCAGAAAGTTTGAGGGCCCTTTAGAAAGTTCCTGGTATTGACAGTGCCCTGCCTGCTTGCCACGCTAAGCACGAGAGGCTGAGATGAGATGCTGGCGATGCACTTTCCTAATCCTCTTGGCAAATGACCGAATGTTTTCCAGGTTGCGACAGCGATCACTGGGGACCCCACTGCAGCAACCGCTGCCAGTGCCAGAATGAGGCTCTCTGCAACCCCATCACGGGCGCCTGCGTCTGCGCAGCCGGGTACCGAGGATGGCGCTGCGAAGAGCTCTGTGACCCCGGCAGCTACGGCAAGGGCTGCCAGTTTAAATGCCAATGTCACAACGGAGCTACCTGCGACCATAGAACGGGAGAATGTCACTGTGCTCCTGGATACACGGGGGTGTTGTAAGTTCGGTGACAGGTGTATTTTACTCCGCGTCGTTTAACAGCCTCGCTTTGACCGCTTTTCATGCAACGAGTAATTGGCAAAATTCACACAATCTCTATATTACGCACTTTCCGTTGTAGAAATCGGGCAACAGAATTTCAGAGAGACTTAAAGGAAAAATCTCTTCGTTTGCTGCTAATTATGCCTATCTGCATAATAAAGTAAAATTTAGTGCTAAAGTGAACTTAGAAATCGATTATATTTTCCGGCTTGTACAACAACTGTACCTGTTCCTAATTTCAGTATGTGAATACAATCCAAATTACTGTTGAGTTTTTATAAGCAATTGGATGTACAACTCATTAGCAGTCCGGCACAGTATCAAATGGGACTTACCATCCCCAATTTATTTGACTTTCAATCTAACTGAGGAAGCATTACTGTTAACTATATCAGCTTACTATCGAGGGGGTAAATTTTCAGCATAGTGAGCCGGGATTTAGCGGTGTGACTCCTATTAACTTTAACGAGAGTCATGTAGCTAAATCCCCATCCACCACACTGGAAGTTTACTGGTAGGATTCACAAAATCTGCATATTAATTTTAGGACAGCAAGCAATAGTTCCTTGTTTAATATTGCCCACAGTGTAACATCAGTTCTCATTAGAGATCTTTCAGTAGTTTCTGAAGTAATTATGTTTTTCAAAATTATTTAAGGGGAAAAGAGAATTCAGTTGGAGATGTATCACAGGTGACTTAATACTTTTGCAGTCTAATATTATTTGTTGACCTGCATGAAGGGGAAGGTAAAAAATAAAGACAATATTAACCCTCATAAATAAGTGATGTGCCTTTTGAATATTTTATTTAGTACCTGATTTCCTTATAGACTTGTTACCTTATTCCTGGAAGCACTCACTGTTAAAGACTCTGCTTAGGAGTGGTCCCATTGACATTAATATGTCAGTACTCAGCAGTAAGGACTTGCAGGGCCAACCACCGATACGTTGTATGAACATCCTCATCAGAGGATAGTCAGTTAGGGGAAGAACCTACCAGAGTTTCAGAACCTGGGATTAGAGAAAGAAGCGATGCTGAAAAGCACCAATGTGCAAATGTAGGAGACACTGTTTTTTGCAGGGACTAGCCTTAGATTGGCCCCCCATGAGTACTGAGACCCAATGAGCTTAAATAGCCTTTAAATGATGTTGAGCTCTTGCCAGTCCATTATACACTGCACATGTTAATATTTAGTAGCGACTGGAGAAATTTCAAGCATTTTGATCCAATTCTTTTATTCTATTTGCAGTTTCTTTTGTTGCCATGTCATATAATTCACATCGAGGGCTTCACCCGGGCTATTTTAACAGATCTGAGTTGCCCTGTTGAAATGGGTGGAATTTGGTACGTGCATAAAGATTACACACATGCATCGGCCTTACAGGACTGGATTCATGGCACATAAATAACCCCAGCAGAAATAAAAGGAATCTTGGCTAATGGGTGATGCCAGCTGAGGCTTACTGAGGTTTCATAATTTGCATAAGGACTCTCATGATGACCTGCGTTGTGGATTTTCCTCATTTACTGTCTCCTGTACATTCTTTTTAATGACCTCTTTGTTTTTTTTTTCCTTCTCTCTCCACAAAGTTGTGAAGAGCGCTGTCCCACCGGCAGCCACGGAGCTCAGTGTGAACTGCGCTGCCCGTGCCAGAACGGGGGAGTGTGCCACCACATCACTGGAGAGTGCTCCTGTCCTCCCGGATGGATGGTGTGTAGTTCCTTCCTACTCATCCCTCATTTAGAGCTTGGAATAGGAAGTTAATTGTTCGCTGTCTCAGCCGACGCCTTGCCTGTGTGCTTGTGATGCGTATCTGCTATTTCTTGTCATGAGGCTCTAACAATTCTGAAACTGGGACCACGTTTGTTGTATGTGCACAGCACTCACTTACACTGACAGGCCACCAGTCTACGACTGGCAGCTACCGTCACAGAGTTGAACAAACAACAGTAAACCAGTGACTACTCAGTATCCTTCTGTGTGGGAGAAGAGACAAAAAAATTGTCTCCGAATTACAGTCCCTTGGAATATTCTCTGCACCGTTAGACACTGCCGCTCACATGGGACAGAAAGCTCAAAGCTCAGCTCAACATTGTCAAAAGCACTGTACTGTTTCCCCTTCAGGAGAGAGGGAGAAGCCGGGGCATTCAGTGGCCCAGGCAGCCCTTATAACAGGACGATGAACAGAGACCGGTTCAGCGTCCTGGCCTTACTCAGGCATCGTTCCCATTGATTGCAATAGATTTGCTTGCATCAGGGGTTGTGCTGGAGAGAGCAAACTGCCCTAACCTTTAATTCTTTGTGTCAAGAAAGCAACGCCAAACATTTTAAAAGTCCTCAACTTTATCAATAAAGTAATAATTAACTCTCTTGGGGTTTGCCAGGTCTCACAGGCCGACGTACCATTTCGCGGTACTACATTTCCTGGCATTCTTCCTGTACCTGACGATTAGTCTCTTGGCAACCTTGCTGGATTTTAATGCATACAAATACTGTGACTTTTTATTTTAATACACAGAAGATGCTGAAGTCCATCATACAACTATGGTTTCTGATGTGGACCTTATACCTGTGGAAACACTTAGGGGCTGAGAGAGATGTTTATGTTCCTTTAGGTTAGCACAGCAGATGCTGCCTCCATTTGATCACACAGCTGCTTCTAGTTAAACAGTACCAACCATGAGATTCTGGTGGCTATCAGGCAGCAACACGGGAGAAGAACATTGCTGCACATAATTTGTGGTGGAAGCTGTGTACGGATGGTGGTATCCATTTCAGACGACAAAGCAGGCAAAACTTTTCAGACACTGAAGTAGGAATATGGCACCTTACCCTCAACTGGCACTCAGCGGAGACAAACAAAAGGTTATTTCCTAAAGAGTACTGGAGCTAAAGCATAAAGGAAGCAATTCAGGTATTTTTGAGGGCCCATCAGTTCATTCTGGCACTACCCCTAAGAAGTGATTGATAAAGTGATTAGCATAAAAACACTACTTTTAGGGTATTTTTTCGATCTCCCCTTATCTTCTGCAAGCCAGTATTTCTGAGGATCTGCGTTGTTTTGCTGTATTCTCCGTTACCTGTATTTTATTAGGAGTTTTTTCTTTTTTTGAAAAGTTAGAAAATCACTAAAGAGATACAAGTATTTCAGAATAGAGCAGGAAGTTTTTAGAGGTCATTTAGGATGCAGCATAGACCCTAAAGAAGAACCACAGCGCTGGGGCTGCACAGCACCGGTGGTCGTGTGTTCTGGCCACTTCTCCCCTGTTCCTTACAGCTTGGAGTTTCTTCTCTGCATTTTTAGTGGCTCAGAGAGACTTTCCTGAAAACTGTGTTGTTGGATGCTGTGTCCCCAGAGAAACCCTAGAGTTAACAATTGATGTTTGAAACAAGTATAACTGCAAATTGAAGAGAGAGATCAAGTATTCTGGGGAAAGAAACTGAAATTATGAGTAAAAGCACTCAGCTTGTAAATGTTGCAATTTTAAGTATAAAGGGTCTCTCCAGGGTTTTAATGAAAAGCTGGTAATTCAGTACACAGAGAGAGAAAAAAATATTTTTTCATGCTATATTTTTAACTCTTGGTGGTTGGAATGCTTTGGGAAGTGAGACATGAGTGGGCTGTAAACGAGCAAGCGAGATGGGATTGCTAGACAGCATTCATTTTATTTCACACCATGGATAGTCTTTCTCTGACATCAGGAATTTTACTTGCTGATTTTGAGGCTTGAGACTGCATGTATGTATTGAGTATACCATCGTGTTGGAAGGAGAGAATTCTCCCTGGATTTATACAAGTGCAAATCCACTTGGATTTTATTGCGGCTGGATGAGCTGAGACTTCTTTCCTTTCCTAGGGTAGACTTATTAACAGCAGCTCAGCTCCCTTAGGGATTTGGTTGCCAGTGGGATATGCAAGGGGAGGCAATAAGTTGAATAGGATGAAATTCTAGGGTTCTCAGGTTCTTCCTTGGATCTGACATTTTCAAAGCCTGGTTCTTTTATTACTTGTAGTATTTCTTTCCTCCTGCTTCCTCCCACCCAGTGCAGACTCTCCCATAAGCACAAAAAGTTGTGTGAATGAACTGTGTCCTGTGAGATTTTACTATCCCATGGGTTTTTCACCAAGAGGATGACAGCTAACAGCATATATTGTTGAACTAGTCAACAAAATCTGGCTTCCGGCATACTGCGACGTCGGGCTTTTTCCACTTCTGTGTCTTTGTGGCTGTGGGAGTTAGTGGGTGGCTGCTTTAGGGCCTCATTAACAATTTACAGGTTTAATTCTATACATCTTTCTCATTTGCAGTATTAAATTCTCCAAGCACTCTCAGGAAGTAGGGAGAGAAGCTAAATTTAACATTTACAATGCTTCTCAGAAACACTTTTGAAGGGCTAGATCTCCATGCTCAGGAAAGCAGCAATCTTTCCTTACATGACAGAACATTTGTCACTGGCAACACACCCTGTTTGGTCCCAAATCCTATTCTCAAGGCCCCGCCACAAGGTGCTGCATCAATACAACACATTCTGCTAATCACTTCTCATTGCCTCTGGGCTTTATGAAGCAACTATAATTTGTATTTTTGTCTGGTTTACTTTGTTGTGGATTTTAAACACGGGGGTGTGTGAGAAAATGGAGCATAAAAAATCTTTTCTATACCACAAAATGGTAATAATATAGCAAACAATGTCAAAAGCAGAATCTGATGAGATCAGGGCCTTAAAAAAGGTGCTGATGGGGTGAACTTTACTGATTAGATGTACAAGCAGCAGGAAGCGTTGGTCTAACATTTGATCCTCCAGAGAAGGGTGTTTTGGATTCCCTTAGTACATATTAATGCAAAAAGTATGCCTAAAGATTCTCTTGGCTCTGGGGGGATGCATCACAGAGTATTGCTTTCTCATCATTTGTTGATAGAAATCCTGTTCCTTTTGAGACATGAAGACAGAAAGTATTTATTATCAAGATAAATGGATACTTACATTTTCAGATATATAGTGTTGCGTATTACTCAAGTCCAGAGACACCAGGTTTTTAACACTGTAATCTGAATGTTCTTGAACTGAGGCCAACCTGTCTATTTTATAGCCAAGGAGCCACCTATCACTGGTTAGGAAAGGCTTGAAGTATCTGTTTTATGATTACATTGAAGAGCAACCCCTCCACCTTGGGACTGTTGATATTGCTAAACTTCCCAAACTGTTGTGCGAGAACCCCAAGGAGTGAAAGCAGCCATTATGTTCCCATTTTATATTTTGTATAAGTCGTGTCTAATATGCGCCTTGTTCAAAACTCAGAGCCCCCCCAACCTGGGGCTTGGTTAGGGAAATAAGGCTTCTGACGGATTAAAAAAAAAATCAATAATAGGGACGAACCCCCACCATTTCTATCAAAGACGGTGCGCTGTACGCGGCACTGGCAGCAGCACCGCTTGCCGCAGCTGCCAGACGTTTTCCATTATGGGACCCCATCTTCACATCACAGCACTGCCAGACTTGCTTTGGCTGAAGTTACTCAGCTGGATGCCAGCCTCAGATTTTATGTTTGCTCACGTAAAAAAAAAAATCACACCACTTTGAAGAAAGTCTAGGGAAATCCTAGCGAGGCCTTGCTACTTGGCAGGGCACATTATGTGATATTTGGGGGAAAACCACCTGAGTTTGGCAAATAAATTCTCCAAAGACACAACCTGTGGTAAGCATTCTCTGCCTTGGGGCTGAATAGTTGGAACGAGGCTTGCCTAGCAGTTGCTTTTCCTGATGAGATTTGCCAGAGTCCACAACCAAGAATGACAGTCTGTCTTCACTTTGAGGGATGGTTAAGCAGAGAGAGGAAGGAAGAAACAACTCAGAGATGGGGATTTGGGTCAGGGTGAAGGAGAGGACTAAAAAGATAGAGACTAAGACATGTCTCCACGGTGGTGATAAGGAACTGGGAGGGTGTTGGATGATGCGTCCAGGCAGTGATCAGGGATTAGGCAGATTTTCCACTGCAAAATCACTGCTTCTGGCCAAAAGGCTGCTGCACTGCTAGTGTGGAAATTCAGGTTGCTTCTGTGTCATCACTGGTGGCTTTCTGCAGCTGTCCCAGTCTCTTGTTCCCATCCCGCCTCCTCCATGGCTTAGACAAAGCACTGGCAGATGCCGTTTTGTGCTGCTTGAAGAGATGGGCGTGGGGGCTGGATGAGGGCAGAAGGAATGAAGTAGGTAGGATCTAAGAGCAGTAGAGGACTTCTCCAGCAGTTGGATTTGGTCTTCTAGGGACAAAGTGGGGCTGTCTGAGCAGGGGAGATCATCATAGACTATCAGAACTAACTATCTAACTAGCAGAACTTCATCCTCCCAGTGCAGCCTTTCCCTCTCTTCCCATATGTTCATTTTGTGACATGCCTCTCCCAAGCCTTCCTGCACCTATTCAAGCTGCAGTTTACAGGGGGGATTCAGAGAAGAGAATTATCAGTAACTGTACAGTGGTGAGAAAAATTCCTTCTGGAAATAGGGTAGACAGGCATTTACTCTGGTAGCAGAATTTTGAGACTGTCTTTAGCCCATCTTAAATGGAAAATATTGTCGCTACACTTAGATCTAGTTTTAACTAGCACAATAAATATCTGAGCTGCATGTAGAAATTTATTGCATTGTGAATGTTGACTGAAATATTGCTCTTTCTATAACCCTATCAGGGGCTGGTGTGTGCACAGCCGTGTCCTCCTGGAACATTTGGAATTAACTGCAGCCAGGACTGTCCATGCCACAACGCAGGACACTGCGATCCCGTGACAGGAAAATGCATCTGTACAGCTGGCTATATAGGAGACAGGTAAAAATCAACCCCCCAAAGACTGGCAATATTTATAGCCCTTCTAGGACACTTTTACTCTCTGAAAAATGGTGTTATGTTTCCATTGCTCCAATTAGGTTCATCTTTCTGAAGCAGTTCAAGCATTATAAATGTGGCAACGTTATTACTTTTTATTGGCAATGCTCTCCATTTACAGGGTTTTTTTTAATATAACTTTTAAAATTTAATGGATTAAATTTAATTTAGATATTTACAGTGATAAATTTAATAGAGAGCATTACATGTTTACAAGATATGTAAATGAACTATATTTATACAGATTAATATCCTCAAGAGTAAGCAATGCAGCAGTTTAATGTTTCCCTCAGCCCTTCTGTGCTGCTGCAGCACTGATCCATCTCAGACACCAACAAAAGGTGATAAATCCTCAAAATTTATAAACAAGAGCTTTCACCCATAAATCGATCAGAGAAGATGTTAATATTGTTTTACAAAGGTGTCATGGATTTAGCAAAATGACTACACAGCAAAGTCAAGGTGGGCTTGTCACACGTTGGCTTAGCCCTCCAGCTAGTCCTGCCAGCAGGGCTAACAATGGTGAGGAAGCTGCAGTTAAACAAGGTTTCATATGCAGTTTTCTCTCGGGACCGGGCTGTGTCGTCAGGGTTTCCAGAGGCTGTGGGCACAGCTCACCAGTGTATGCTATGCTGAAGCCCTTTCGCCTACATCTTCCCTTTTTTTATATTAGCTAGAACAAGCTAGTTTCAGTATATTGACATATGCTACAATTATACTTTTATGCAGCGACGCTCATTGGAATTTCTCCTTTCTTGCTTCATTGTATAATCATCAGGTCTTTACAGCACACATGCAGACCAGCCTTCAACACCGTGCCGGGGTTCAGAAGACCATGTCCTTTCCCATGAAATATGGAAGTTCCTCGTTTCCATTTTATCAACAGCAGTAATTGGAGGGGCCTCTGGAGATTATGTCAGGATCTGCATGTGGTTGAATATGGCGGAAATACTAATTATTTCAAATTAATGTAGTGGAGAAGACATCACTTTGTCTCTCTTCCCCCATCCTCCATCTGGAGACTGGTTTCAGCCATAGGGTACCGTGTAATTACTATTGCTAACCGAAGCTTCTCTTTCTCTCCTTTTGGAGACGATTTCACTAATGGAAGCAACTGTGCAGCCTGGACACGTACTGGTGACCACACTTCCACCGCAAGCTGTCCCCGGTGCTGGCCACGCTCAGGAAGGCTGGCAGAGGCTACCTCTGTCTCTGGGTCCGCCCGTTTGGTCGTTGCAGACCTGGATCGATTTCTGTAGATGAATGAACAGTGCTAGAGCCGTGGGGAGCGCCCAGCCTGCGGCTCAGCCAGCGCCTTGGCTCAGCTGCCCCGGCCCCGAGGGAGGACGTGCAGCAGAAGAGCTTGGCCCTGCTACAGGCACGCGGCACAGGGAAAGAACAGTAATGGAGTTGCCGAACGGCAACGCTTACACACTCCAGCAATAAGAGTGGAGAAAGGACCTTTGGGGATGAGGAAAGGAGATAGCAAGTGGAAAGCAGAAGACCTAGTTCTGCCTGCTGACAAAAGCAGAGGTTTTTGCCACTGATCCCCCTTAGAGACTGGCTGGAGAAGGTCTGACTTTGTCCCTGCATCCAAGCAAAACCCTTAGGAACGGCTCACCTGCTCCCTCCTGGAACAGGGAAGTAAAATATAGACACTGAAGGGAGAGGCAGAGGAGCAGAGACGCAGGCGTGTGAAGGATGAATGAGAACAGGAGAAAGGTAAACACAGTTCAGAAAGCTTTTCTAGCTGCAGGGTAAAACCGTGTTAGCTTAGAAATTCCCACCCTTCCAACAAGTTCGCAGAAGGCTAAAACATGCTTATCTATCATCAGCCTTTAATCAGCCTTCGATAAGGGAAGTGAAACCTTGGGCCCGCTGTGTTCAGTTGGAGTTCTGCCTCTCACTGGGACTGGGACAGCACGCTGCCCGTAAGGGTTTGTTCTGAACGCATACCCTTACCTTGCTCTTAACTACAGCTAGCTCATGGTAGCTTGCCCATTGATTTCAGCGATGGCAGGAAGGCACAAGGTCTTTAAAAAGTCCAAATTGCTTTCCTTAGTTATGTGTTCATACAGCACGGTCAATGGGACAGATTAGTCAGCACCATTTTAGCTTAAAGTCTATTTTAGTTTCTGGATCTCATGCAACTGTTGCAGTGTTACAGTATAATTGCAAGTATAATAGGAGACTGCTGCTGCACAACAAAATAGTGTTTTCTTTAAAATTTTACAGGGCACTGAAAAAAATTGTCTTAATAATAACTGATGTTGTGAACAACAACAATAAAAACATAAACACGCTTTATCAACTATGCTATTTTTTAATTGCCAGTAAGTACTATATAATACTAGAGTTCATCATCTTGTGCAGAAGATAATGACATATAGTTAGATAAATATTTGTGGAGATGAAACGGTCATAAAGGTCCATGGAAGTGTAATTGCCACACTTTGTTCCCTACCTGTTTTCCAGGAAGCGGCACTGCACTAAATATCTAGTCAATTGGCAAGCACTATTAATAACTCCAGGCAGCTTTGTGCTCTGCTAGAATGACTGGATATGTCATGTAAATGTATGTTTTGCAAACTGGAAAGGAATAATAGCAGAAGCACAGTAAGAAGCTGAGGATGAGGTCTCTCAGAATTCAGTGGCTGACAGGAAAAGTGAACGTACTGTTTTAGCTTTGTTTTCCATATTGCCATTAAACCTAAAGATTGAATCTCAACAGAATAAATACCACATTTGTTATAACGATATGAGCAGACTTACTTACTTTCTTCTTGTTGTGCTTGTACCTGTATCTTTTATCGGCAGAATGGCAATCTCCAGGTTGATGTATTTTGGGTGGCTTTTAATATTTGTCTGTGCTACCTAAATGTGATCACTGTTTCAAAAAGAAGCGGACAGAGAAGCCTAAACAAACCTTACAGCATTATTCCATGAAAAAAACTTATCTAGAAAGACTGTAGGTGTATGTACTAAGTTCATCTGTTAAGCAGGCTGTCTTATGTTTAATATTTTGTGAAATTGCTTCCATTAATTCTACAGGTGACAGCCATATTATCCTATCCCAACCCAAATAATTATAGTACATATTAAAGTTCAGTGGATATTATAATACGAATCTCCCCAGATAGGCAGAAAGCAATGTAAATTAAACAAGAAACATAACTAGGGCTTAGCAGCTCATTTTGTAATTTAATTGAACAATGTATCTGGTTGTTAATGGTGCTATGGACACATTAGATTGATATGTTGCAGAGGAAAGATGTTTAAGTAGAAAGCTAATTCCTGCTGTGATTATTCTTATGTTCCAGAGGAGTCATTATTAGTATTCTTTGTATAAAATTCATTAGCAGTAGCTGCTTGATCTCCAAATAAATAAGTTGGTTAAATTGTTGGTAGAAAAAGGCTAATTATGTAAATGGATTAGGTCGTCAATATTTCATTTCCAGATGCTTTTCTCCCTGCTAGGTAATGCTTCATCTTCTATAAATACAGAACGATATAGTGCACTATTGACTAAGTATTCGTCTCGTCGCGTACGGCATCCTTCTGCTAACTAGCAGAGCCGCGTACAGCAGTGGAGACATAAGGCATCTCAGTACCTTCTGCACTGCATTTCATTTGCTGCAGGTGCTTCAGACCTAACGCTGCCCGTCCTTTGCTGGTTACTTCCTTCGCAGCTGAAGTACCCCGAGAGCAGCAGGACTAGCAGCGGGTACCGCTGTGGTTCTCCGGGCCCTTTCCCTTCCCGGCCTCACGGGTCTCATACGAGCTCCTGAACTTGGATTGTGTGACTAGTAACTGTGCTGATGCTTGCCGCAATTAAATCACGAGCTAGGCATTTTGCTTTGTTCATTTACTTTTAGTAAAACCCGATCATCTGAAGCTGCAAAAGGAATGCTCTTCTCATACACTGACTGTGCTCATTGCAGTTTTGCCTGGCTTGCATCACACATTAATCTTTTATCACTGATCATTATATTAACTCTCACCTGCCAGCTGTGAAATGACCTGCAGAAAGACATTTAACAATTGCCTCTATCCACTGAGTTTACAGTATACACTTTAATCAATGCTCAGGATTAAATTAATGCTGATAGGCAATTTCCAATATCTGGCATCCATGCGATAAGGGAATTGGGCTTCTCTGGACTTATTTTTCTTATTTTATTAACTGAAAAGTCATATCTGTATTTCACGGTGGATCATGTAAACTCTAGTATGGACTCATTGCAGAATTTTGAAACCACTAAATTATGTCAAGCATGGAATCAGTTGCTTTCTTTAGGACATTAGGTGACCTTTTCAAAATAGGAACTATTATGAACACTTAAACTGGTTGTGTAGGACAATGAAACAGACTTTTTGTCAGATTTCATAATATATCCGGTAGGGAAATATTTTAAACAGTGCATGGAAGGTGCAATTTAAAACAGTCTGGGTATAGTGTTTGCAGGTTCCGTTTTTATGTGTATCAAATATTAAAAATGTTGGCAATTTTGGAGAAGATGCTACACTAAGGAGCTTGGAAGCGATTTGCCTTGAGGTTTCATACTACTGAGCATCCCTGGAGTAAGAGATGGAAAGCAAATTTGAGTTTTAGTTACTCAGAACACATACAAAAGAGAAAGGAGTATATTTTCTCCTAGTTGGTATAAAGCTGGTGCAATGACAGCATCGAGGGAAAGTAAAACTATACACTGCTGGGAGAACACTTTACTAAATATTGTTTAATAGACCACATTTCCTTTCAACCTTCGTTACCGCTAAGAGGACCATATGCTTTTAAAGAAGGCACACAATTCTTCTGTAATAAAAAGAAAGCAAACAGATGAGGTTTTTTTATGAAGTACCTTATTCTATACCAGTTTCTTATGGTTGGTGAATGGAATTGTCAAGGTCCAGGAAACAAGAATGCATTTTGTTAGCTAAGGTAATACTAACTAATGCAAATTTTGCAGGATATAATTGGACAGAGATTAATGCACTTTCAGATAACAGCAATTTACATGCCCAAGGTATCACATCACTCCAATGATATCATTTCACAGTTTATTGCTTAAATAAATGGTAATGATTTTGTACTTAATTCATTAACAAAACATTCCTGTGTAAAATTCATAAACAGACTAGACTCTAGCATTTGAGTCTCATCTATTATTTCATTGCAGGTGTCAAGAAGAGTGTCCGATTGGGACGTACGGCTTTCAGTGCACACAACGATGCGACTGCCAAAATGGTGCAAAATGTTACCATGTAAATGGAGCGTGTATGTGTGACCCTGGATTTAAAGGGATTTATTGCCAAGAAAGAATGTGTCCAGAAGGGTTTTATGGGCTCAAATGCAACAAGAGATGTCCTTGCAATATTACTAACACTCTCAGGTATGTACATCATATTATTTCCTAGTGCAGGTCCTGGTCAAATAAAAGCATTGGGAAAAAATTCAATTAACTACACCTACTCCCTTTTTCTCTGTAGTTTTAATTAAGAACACAGACAGTTCCTCTGCATTGCAACCTTTGATTTAAATAACCTCAGGTTTAGAACCATAAGCCTCAGTCCAGACAGCTACTAAGCATGTATCATCTGTTAACTACTTAAACAGTTCTGCTAAAATCTGAAACAATCTGACATATGGCCTTCTCCTGTAACTGCAGTCTTCTAGGCATAAGAACTATCATATGAAGCCCATATGTATGTATAATAGCCCACTGAAGTTTAAAAAATACAGATTTACTCAAATCCGTCATTGTAGCTCTTTTTATGATACGAGTTTTCTTGTTAGATCCATAGACAGCAAGGAGACTTTCAAAATGAAACTTAATTTGCTTCAGTTTATGTCTCATGGCAAATTACCTTGTTGAAAACACTTGAGGCAGATGTATAAATAGACTGGAATCAATATCTCCAAGTCAGTCTATGGAACTGTAAAGAAATCAACGTTGTCAAAGTAGACATCTCTTCTCATGTGTGCCTATTTTTGCTCTTCATTCAGTATGTGTATGTGTGAAATGTTCAGGAAAATAAATATCAGGGAAGTATACTTAAAATGGAATAAGCCTTACTTAAAAGGTCAGGTTTTGATGTTTTATTCCTTTTTGGTTTTTTTAGGATCTGATTCTTGAGGTTCCCATCACTAAGAGCTAGAGCCACAAACAGACTTGAGCACCTAACATGGGATAGGTTGAACTTGCTTTCCCGTTGCAAGCTTGAATAAGTTTTCCAAACCCTGATAAAAGGAAGAATTCAAGACTTTTCCCTATTATCCTATTTGTTACCTTTTGTAACTTGTTGTCTTGTTTACTGACTGCTGGAATTGCTATTTGGAGGTTTCTCACTCCCTCACATGCAGTAAAGGGAGCCTGGACAGCAAAAGCATCCTGGCATGAGCTATTCTGATGGACTAGAATGCCCACGTGTCCTTACCATGCCTGCAAGACGCTGAGCCCCTCAGCTCCCGCTTGATTTCCTCCTTTTTCTGTCATTACTGTTAAGCATTCATAGCCAATTCAGGATTGTGTAGGCTTCAGAGGGAGGTGGGGATAATTGATGCTCAAGCAAATATGCCCTTGATACGGGCATTCTTCAATTTTAAACCAGACAGGTAGGGACCTGACTGTCTTGCTGATGGTGACAAAGCTACCTTGCAATCTTGCAGCCTGCTAAAATATAAACACACTCCTCAATTATGTATGTACGCAATACTACCTAATTTGTGTGCGTGCACACATACACTCTCACACACACACAAACACTTCAGGCAAATCTGTTTGTGTGCTTGAGATAGAGTCTATTTGTCTCAGTCTTGGAAATAAATAGGCGATCTTTCTCGTGAATTCAAGTTCAACTGTGAGTGGTGAGGCTTTGCTTAACTGAAAGTCAGAGCTCACGATGGGTTATTTAAAAGCCTTGTCATTCTGATGGTACGAGTCCTCTACAGAATAGATAGCTCGCTCTAGCTCTACTGGGTTTGACAGCAAGGATCCAAAGTGTTTGACACCTCAAAGGTAGCTCTGTACAACAGGTTTCTATCACTCTTATTATTTTGTGTATCATGAAATCATTGAAAAAAGTAACATCCCTAAGGCATAAGCTGAGCATTATACACAACGGGTTAATGTCGTGTTGTACTGAGGATAGGAGATGCCTCAAGAATTACTGCAGAGTGAGCTAAGGTATAAATTCCTGCATGTACCTGCCAGTGTGCACGGCCTAAACCTGCAGTAAATCCAAGGTAAACTGCTCCTCAGTGGAAGCTGTTCTTCATGTGTACTGGAGGGTGAGAATATGCTCTTGGACAGTAGCTGACATAGTCTGTCTTCACCCCCTCTGCTAGCCTGCAGAAACCTGTTTGTGTGCCCGTTTTCCCAGAAAGGTGTAAATAGAGTGGGAGGACTGCAGGCCACGGGCAAGGCTGAGCGCGGCTGCTGTTTCTCAGCTAACTGCTCAATTCGTTAAGAGTCTTATAAGTGGGAGAAGACTGTGGCTTTGAGGGTGCAAGAGTTCATTCTGGGTTACTCAAAGAACTGGCTGGGGGATGCTCTGGGGGTTTGCCAGAAGACCCTTCCTGAAAGAACCGACTAGCACCATCCAGCTGTGAAGAAAGGCGAGGTCTCAAGTTTGAGAGAGCTCAGAAAGGTGGAGGATCGAACCCTCTCACAGCTCTTTTCTGGGCATGCGTTCATTCTCACACGCCGTGTACCTGCCCTGTGCCTCGTTGCTGTCTGACAAATACACTTCACGCCTTCCCTCCCATCGCTGCTCCCTCAGCCTCACTTGCAGCATCCTCCGCTAAGATGGTATCTCCCTTTCGTTAATAAATGAGTCTAGTCTCTCCATTGATAAAATCTCCCTTTTTCCTACATCTTATCACTGCTGTTATGGAACAAAGAGATATCAGCAAGCTGTAGATCTGTAAACATTCTTTCATTCATCCATGGTATTTCAGCTTTCCACTCTTCAATGAGCTCCTTTGAGTGCTGTCAGCTTCTGAGCCAGGGAGTGTCAGAGTTGATGGAAAATGACCTTCTCCAAAGGCACTCCATATTCGGAACAAATCTTTTTACTGATCGTTTAAGCAGTCCTATACAGCATACTTCTCTTCCAACCCACCTCCTCCCATTCCTCCCCTGAATTTTTATCATTACTGGAACTGTGGTCTTCCAAAGTGATTTGTTTACTGACAGCCATCTATTTTCCCCAGAAGCAGTTTAAGCTGTTGGCTACTTGTTGTGATACCTCAGTGTGTAGGACAATTATATATACACGTGAAAGAAGGTGAGGGAAGCTTGCTTATTTCTGTCAGCGGTTTTCACTCATTTGATTTGATTATTGGAGAGCTGGCTAGAATGGAAAGTTCTGAGGGCTTTGAGGAGCGTGTTGGGGAGAAACATTAAGAAATACACAATTAGCTTTTCTATTTTCATAGATCTATCTATTTTAATGTCTGAAGAGACCAGCGTGATCATCTAGTCTATCCTCTTGCATAGTAATGGCTGAAGAACATCATCCAGTAATTTCTGCATCAAAGCATGCTGAAAGGCACTTTGTGCAGGACTTTTGAATAACCCCGGAATTAGGTAATTTAGAATGTGCTGGTGACTTGGACTGCCCTTCCACAGGGAAGGATACACCTGTAAAAAATTCCCCTGTGCAAAACACCCATGCTGAGACAGTCTACAATAGTCAGAAAGGCATAATCCTGGCTTGCTCTTCTAAAAAACAGAGAGGGAAATGAATAGCTGGAATAGCCTCAGCCAACCCACCCTTCTTGAAGACTGGTATGGAGCCAGCGTGTGGAGCGATATGCCTATAGTAATGTCTTTCCCAGGTCAGAGACATGAGGAGGGAAGGAAGACACCATGACCTCTTAAGCCTTGACACTTTCCTACTGTGCCAAAGTCAAATGAAAGGGGTAGAGGCTCTAATCATTGCCTCAGCACTGAAAAGTTTGGAAGGTCTAAACCCCATGGACCTTACATGAAGTTTTGCCTTGACCTAAGTCAATAATGCACTTGAATGAGAATGGCTTTGAAGATGTGCTGGACTGAAGTAGTGGCCCTACAGTCTCATTGTGGCTGCTTCCTTAAAAGCAAGAGGGCATTTTAGTAAGGGAGACTGGATGTAGTATGGCCACAACAGGTAGAAAATACTGTTAAATGAGGTTTAGGGCTGTTGTTAATTAAGATGAGATGACTGGTGCTAGTGTATAAACAGCAAGTCAGGAAACTCACTGGGAAGAAGTTGTTTTGGCTGAAAGATGTGTGGAGAACAAATTGAGAATTTGGAACAGACTGTGCTGTCTAAAGCATTTCTCTTCCCAATTTGCCTTAAGAAAGTTAAATTACCTGGTTTCCTCAGATTTCCTCAAAATTAGATGCTTAAAAATGTAAAGGTCAAAAATGACTTTCTGTTTTTCAGTTCAGCTAGTAAATTTAAAAAATATCATCTTTCATTGCTGTCAATGTGGCTCAAAAGCCAGAGAGCGTACAGTAGCTTCCGCACTGCAGCAAGAGCCATGGAACAGTTTCCTTCTCATGCCATGTTGTGCACTGTGGACAGCTTCCAGTTTCCACCTCTACTTGGTCTAGTGCCAGAGAAACACTTGCCGGCTTGCACTCACTCTAGGTTTTCTACACTATTCCTTCCTGTTATGCAAGAGAGTTGAAGAAATAAAAGTTGTTAAGATTCAACGCAAAATGCTAATGTATAACACTGCCAAACTCTTTCAAGCGTGTAAGGTTCTCTTCCGTAGCACCACAGCAAGTGGTCGGAAAGCAGATGTTAGCGGCTTTGCCTTCTGGGATCCTTTCAGAAACCCCACATTCTCTTACCCATCCATTCCATCATCCTTCTCCAGAGGAATTTTTTGTGGTTCTTAATTTCAGTTTATTGGTGGCGTGGGGAAGCGTCTTACACATGCTGCACCCTTGCTGGCAAAACATTACACGGACTCACGACCTTGAAAGGTACATTCAGAACAGAAAGGGAGGAATAATACAAATAATTCACATTGCAAGCTGTATTTCCTATTCTTTGCCTTAACACCTTTGCTATTAAGCGCCTCAAACTTTTCAACTTCAATGCAGCTAGCGTTTAGTTCACTGGATAGACTGGATGTACACATGGCTGGCTGGATGATAGACGAGTTTCCTAGCTATAGTTATATGTCTACATACAGAGTTTAGACAAAATGAACTTTTACAGAATACCAATATAGTAAGAGAGAAGCATTCTTAAATCACACATACATGCATACCTACACTATTTCTACATCATGAGCTGCAATATATTTAGTATGTAATGCTGATGACTTCAATTACTGGAATAGTTCATACATACCAGAATAGAAAAAAACAAATAATAATAAAAACTTAGTACTATTTAGTGATATCAGTTGCAGATCTTAAAGGTTTTCCAAAGGAAGAAAGGCAGCATTTTACAGGTGGGAAAGATAAATGCAGAAAGAGCAAAATACATGGCCAAGATTCACCGGCGGGACTGGGAAGAGAACAGCTGTCTTCTGAATTTTGGTTAAGCATCTACATTGCCGCCATCTTCAAGTTAACACTGCACCAGGGCACCTTAATTGCCAAACAAGTGTTTGCGAATCGGGGCATGGTATTCTTTGTATGGGAGACAAGTCTCCTGTGTCCCCTGGCCAGACACAGCCTGCAACCTCATTTCGGACCGAGCTGTGGAGGTGTGGGGTCCCTTTGCTACCGTAACGCTGTGGTATGTGTTAATGTCTGGCTTGCCACAAGCCTTGGAAACTTTTATTCTGCTCTTGTCAAGCAGAAGTTTCCCTTCCGCTGCTGTGTAGCCTTTTCACAGGCTGTTGCTACCTACCCAGAACTATTGTTATTGGTACCGTAACTCTGGAATTTGATGTGGAGGATTTTGTCTAATCCTACAATGCCAGTGCTCTGTACAAGCGAGAGAGAAGTATTTCAAAGCACTGAAGGACTGCAAGCGCTTGGCCTAAGGGAAAAACACAACTCTGATATGCTCAGGCTCATAAGCAAACAGGAGGATTATATGGGTGCAGGGACCCAAACATCTGCATTGGGCTTTTCCTCGCTCGTAGCCTCATGAAAGAGTGGAAAAAGGCGTTAAGGGGACAGAATAGGGTCTCAACCTTCTACCAGACCTTGTTTTAGAGTACAAGCCTCTGTCTCCCACAGACTCTTCTGTTTGGTTCTTGCTTCTTATTTTAGTGCACATTAGGACGATTTTTAGTCCTTAATATACAGCTTGAATCCCATGCAAAAAAGCTGTCCATTTTGACGAAGGAGCCAACCTTGGAGTAGAAATTCTTACTGAGAATAGTATTTTCAATTGAACTGTCATAGACTGATTCAAACTGCCATGGCCATATATTACGTTTGAAAGATTTAATTTAGCCCAACAGATGCAGTTCTCATGGAACCCTATGAAACGTGCAGTAGTAGTGAAAACAGAGAAACAAAAAATCCACTTTAAAATATTTCTTTAATGTTTAGTTTTCTGCTCCTATTAGGTAATGATTAATAGACACGGAGGGGGGAAAAATGAGCTTTTATTATTTTCGTCTGAATGTTAAGAGGTGCTTTGTGAACAACCATAATTTTAGGGACTGCTTTGTCAGAAGAATTTCATGGATGGTAGTTTGTTAAGCTGATGAATTGTTTTAATTAGTCAGTAAAACACTATTTATGATGAAACATATGACACTCACAAAATTTGATCATTCTTAGTCACAACAATATGTGACTAAGCTCTTCTACCAGTAATTGCCAGAAACTTACTTGGAAATTACGTTTTATGAGGTTATCTTGGAAATTAATATATACAATATTAATTTCATAGGTGTAAAGAAACCCATTCAGTCATGTCTGCAATATTAAACTATGGCAATAAATAATCGCAAAGGAAAATAAATAGTTTCTATGAGGCAAAACCCAGGAGACAGGTCCGTAAAGAGGTGCCAGCTTGCAGAACTCTGTTCTTTCTTGTTCTGAGAAGAACAGAGAAAATCTGATTTGTAGCAATATTATCTCTCCCGTGTCTCACCGAGGGCCAGACAGTGTGTTACGGCACAACCTCGCGGTGCAGAGGCCCCAGAGCACCCCGAGCTCTCAGGTGAAGCCTTACGCTCCCAGCGCGCCTCAGACAACGCGGGGTCCTTTTCCAAAGATCGGATTCCCTCTCCATCCCCTGCCCTTCTCTTTTGACCGCCTCATCTCCCCACACCAGACATCCCCCTGCGCTCTCCCTTCCATCCCCCAGAAACCTCCATCTCTTCCAGCCAGGACCAAACACAGCTCCAGCCTTCCCCTCCGCTAGCCCCAGCCCCAGCGTGGCTCTCCTGCTGCGGGAAGTTAGTGCCCAGAGGGAACCAGAAGAGAAAAAGATGAATAAAGATAAACGGTTTCACAGCAGGAGGAACAAGGAGGGAAGTCTTCCACCTGTGAGACGCGAAAGGACCCGGCATTGTCCGGTCTTTTGGGCTTGATTCTCCTTTCTGCTTTTCGCTCAGTGTGGAATTGTCTGAATAGAAACGAAAGCCCGAGGATTAACGCCGGGCAGCAATGCTCATTATTCCACATAAAGCAATAACAGAAAGAGAATACAGTATTTGTGCCACAGGACCCAGGTTTATCCTCACAATTCTCTCGATTGCATTCCTCTGTCCGTTGGGATTTCCTAACCCTGAACACCTTTAACTGGCTGTATTACAGCCGAATAGCACATATATGTCGTACAATAGTATGGCTTAATCCTGACGTGGTTCATGGCAGTAACCCAAGTCACATTGATGTGAGAATGCAAAAGCATAAACTTCAAAGGTTTAAAATCACCAGTGCTGTGGCAGTTCCCAGCTGTTTGGCAGTGGCGTGATATTTAGCACCATATTCCCTATTAATTTCCTGACTTATATGGTTGCTTATGTTCACCATCCTTAACAGTTTTCGGGTTCGTTATGTTCTTAGCGTGACTCTTGCCGGCATTGCATTTGAAACGTTCTCCTGCTCTTTAGGGACCGTATTTTTCTCTCATGACCTCATCTCTTTAATGTTTGTCTGTCTTCATTAGCTGCCATCCGTTGTCTGGAGAATGTAGCTGCAAAGCTGGCTGGGCTGGGCTCTACTGCAACGAAACCTGTCCCGCCGGATACTACGGCGAAGGCTGCCAGCAGACCTGCCCTTGCCAGAACGGCGCAGATTGCGACAGCGTCACAGGGAAGTGTCTGTGTGCGCCGGGATACACGGTAAGGGAGAGCTGTGAATAATGGGGCACTTCGTAAGGTGCCTGCAACAAATCAAAGGGGATTTTAATCTGTTTTCAATTAATATTTGCATAAAAGTGGCCAAATGCAGGTGGCTTTTTTCCTATTTCATTATAAGTCCACAAAATTCTCCTTTGAGCACTGTCAACTTACTACTTCTGGTTATTTGCTTAACATCGGTATTGTAAGTTTATTTGTAAGGATAAAGACATGGTTTCCCATCGTATATTCTAAGTCAAGACGTAACAAAAAAGATGTCAGATTATTGTCTGCCTGGAAGAGCAGAAAAAGAATTCTCATGGCCTTTCAGCATGTTCCTTGTCAGTCACGCTGTGATTTTAATAGATGAGGATCTTTTAAAATGTTACAAATGATAGAGCAATTTATATCTTTTCTGAGCATATATGGCAGGTGTCTTTTACCTGAGCATCAGAAAGAGCTTCAGACATTCTGAGGTAAACAAGCATTACATTTTATAGATGAGATATAAAATGGCTGGAGAAATCAACCAAGATGAAACAACAGAAATTCAGAATTAACGACTGCCAGGTTGCAGCAGAAAATATTAGGACGTGGATCCAGGTGCCCACCTCTGCTACAGCTGGGCATAATGGAACTCTTGTTACTAAGTTCCCTGGTCATCCGTATATGAAGCACCTCTTTACTTCAGGAGCACTCCATGGAAGAGACCTGCAGGCTATATTTCAGAAACAATATTTCCTAAAGAAAAAAAAAATTATTTTCAAGAGAGAATTCCCTCACAACTTGATTAGCAGTTGTCTTTCTGTAATTCGTGTCCTTAATTTTACATGACCTGTCCACACAGGCCTATCTACATGTTTTCCATACTATTATAATAATAATTAGTTATAACTACTAAGTTTACTAGACATCAAGTTTCAGGTTCAAAGATATCTTTAGAGCTTCCACTGACATTTAGCAACCAACTAAAACGTGCAGCCTCCTAGGTGAGTTTTACCCTCTATTGTTTTAAGTTACAACTTCAAAATGAGATTAATAAGTATCTTCAAATACCGAGGAACATGAGATGTTATCTTTGAACATATGAACATTTTGAACATTTTATCATTGTAGCTGTTTTGATTTGCATTTATGAAACACGGTGGACATCGTACCAGGTAGCTTTAGAAACAACAGGAGGGGAATGGCGTGTTAGATCTGGACAGCAGAGCAGCCATGTCCTACTATCAGCACCCACTGCAGTGTTTAGGGTTTTCTAGGAAAAAAAACACGTTGCGGTATTCTGCGTGGTCATATGCTGCTGCCATCCACAGGGGAAGGCTGCACGGCTGTGTGACAGCATCCGTAGTGTGGGAGTCCTGTACGAGATTAGTGGGATGCTAAAGACTTTTTTAAACTCCCTCCCATTTAAATCCACACCTAGCATACGATCACCAACGGCCATCTCCAGAACGGCGGAACTGGAGTTATGACTTAAGGACAGTTTTGTTCCCTGCTTCATGTCAACAGCTGAACCTGAAAGGTAGAGCTTCCATCTGATTTCCAGAGGTTCTTGCAATGCCAGGTACAACCAGATTTATTTAGACATGAGAGGTAGGACTGTCAAAAGCATCTGTGCAAGTAGTATTGGGAGATGTAAAAAAAAGAAGAAAAGGGCTTTGAGTTTTGATTCCCCACTCACAGTAACAGAAAACAAGAATTTATCTTCTCTATACAGTGGTGATACACAAGTATTAATATAAAGTAGAAAAAGAATGAAGGAAGCAGCATGTTAGTAACAAATGCAAAATAAAAAGATATCAAGATCCTCTTTCTTATCAGGAATGCTGTTCAAGTTTGCAGCATAAAAATATTTTGGGACTCTTTACTGTACACATCTTTTAATAAGCATAGTTTGTCCAATATATATTGCTCCAAGACAGTATTACTGCAGGCGTGAAGCCTGGGAAGTTCCTATTGCAGAGCTTCAAAATAATATTTAATCTCATAATAAAGAGCTTTCTTGCATTGACATTTAAACAGCTCAGTTATTGAGGATAGCTCTATAATCACTGAAGCATATTTAGGCATTAGTATCATTGCTCTCTCATAATATACTATAATCTCTGGCAATTAGTCCACGAGGGGAAGTAAAGCCTTGAAATTGCTAATTTATTGCCTCTGAAGCATATTTGTCATTCGTATGCACGCCAGATGACTTGAGTTGCAATGGTTCTTTCAAATGCTAGAGAACGTAGGCTGTAAAAAAAAGTTGACAGGAACCTTTACTTCCTACCCCGGGTCGGCGGCGTCCTGCCGAGCTGCTCTTGCTGGACCTCTCGTCCGGGCAGGGCGAGGTGTCAGCCCCGCTTCACGACGCAGCCTGCAGGTCCTGTGAAAGATGCTGTGGGGCCAGAACCCTCTCAAGGCTTGAAGTGGCTTGTCTCAATGACACGCTCAAGACCAGACCTTGCTTGCAAATATGCATGCCTGCCTCTTGCTGAGGCGATGGGGACATTCGCCTGCGGGTGGAATTTTGCCCTTGCATTCGGCTAGCCTGAAAGCGCGTGGCACAACGGCTGCTGAACGCGGGATGTCTCCTTTGTCAGTGCTGACAACAGAGTGATGCTAACACAGAGCTGGGCAGAGCTAATGATTCAGAAAAGCCGTACGTGAATCCCTCTGGCTTTTTCTAGCATGAGGCTTGGCCGATGCAGCTACGGGGTCAGAAATTTTGCCATATGCTTGGAAAGAATGAAAGCGGGATCAACATCTTATATTTTACAGAAACGTTTTAATCTACACGCGATCTTATAGAGCAGAGCAGGCTGAAGGCTTTCTAAGTAAGGAGGGGGGAAGAAGACGTGATGGGATATGAGGTATAACTGCAAAATCTAATTGCAAAGGCAGAGAGGTTGGACCCATAGGATTTTTGGGTTACTGGATGCCTAGAAAACATAGCGACCAAGAAATGACAGCCTTTTCCTGACAAAGCACTCCTTCAGCCCACTTCTTTTGCACAGATGGCTTGGTTTTTAACTGTGCCCTGCCTCGGCTGTGTCAGGGCAGCTGGGCTGGGTTTCAGAATGAATAATCCGCAATCGCAGCCAAAACAGGGACATTTTGTTGGGATGCAGAACAAGCCATTAAAAACACAAAACATCTGGTCACCTTTATTAAACGTATTAAGTGGAAAGGCAGCCATCCCATAGGTTGACATGTACGTGAGAAGAGCACTGAATTTTTGGAAGTTAAGCAGATTCAAGTTTTAAAATAAAAATGTACGTTGTAGCTCAGAAAATAATACATTATTTATTACTTGTGACATTTCCAAAAATTCAAATGCCAAAGCTAAATATTGGTGAGCTTGCAGTTTTGGATAGAATTTCAAACATTTTATGTCTTCTTTTCTTGATGAATATTTTGGGTCAGACTCAACAACCAGATTTGCACATACCTAGCTCTGAAAACAAATTACAGTGTTGTAAAGGTGTTATTGGGTACTGGTGCGGGTTATTTGTGTGAGGTTCTGATATGAATGTACGCACTTTGGGGATTGCACTATTTTAACTCTATGGTGTCTAAACCACAGTGCAGACACTATGTGTAGATTTGACTGAAGAGATAGCTGAGAAATCTGAGTAATTCACAGTCACACCCAAAACAGCCCAATTTTTGGAGGCAGCGTGTGGGACAGTAAAAATAGGATAAAATAGAAGAGGAAACACAACAAAATCTTCTTCCCTAGAATCACAGAGCATGTCTAGAGCTACTCATATGCTCTAGCAGTAGAGTCCACACTGCAGGCCTGCTGGAAAACCTGTGCTTATTGCATCTCACTTGTGAAGGGAGAATAAAGGGCTGTATCCATTTAATTAAGACGATTGCAGGGAATCAGCATGATAAGCATGCCAACAGCGTACTTCCCTGAAACTGGTATGTTTAACATATTTGAGGATTGCCTCTCAGTACTTATGCGATGAATTGCCAGTGATGTTTTTCTGAAGCATGGTTTTGAAAAGCCATTCTGCTGCCCTCCCGTTTGTGGCAAGAAGGAATCTGATAAGCACACAGCGAGTACACAAATATTAGCCTTTAAAAGTGTACAGGAAGATTCCTGACAGGTAGAAATTGGACCCTTACTCCCACATGCAAATAGTCGCTCCTTGAAATAAATTACTTGGATGCAATTATGCGGGTGGTGAGAGGGGTTACACTGACTTATACCTCACCTACCTTTCAAATTCTGCTTTAAGATGCTCTCTTACAAGCCCTTGGAAGTCAGTTGTGCAGTAGGGATGTAAAAGAAATCAGGATTTGTCCTGTCCTCTCTTCTTTTGTTTTTGGTTCACTGAATTTTATTCCTCTAATTCAACAAATGTGGTGAAGAAGGCCAGAGGATATGAATTAAATATGACAGGAGACCACAGGAATCCCGACCTTCTGTCTCGCAAGGAAATCTTGAAACCAACCCACTGCACGTACCTATCAGCATTCTAGTTACTGAAATCATTATAAATGCTATTGAAATACAACTAAGTCCACCTTCTCCATTGCACAGCTAATTGCAACTTCCCTAAAAAGGTAGCTATCTAGAGACCTCATCCTGTCATATGCCTTTGTTTCTTTATGGATGCTTTGTTTTCTTCCTTTGAAAAATGGATTTAGCTTCAAATGCTTTTATTCTGTCTATTGTGGCAAGGAGATATGTAGCTAAAACATTTCTCAGCCCAAGACACTCTGAGAAAAGTTTAACACTTATCTGTGGAATGTGCGGTCAGCTTTTACTTCAGCGGACACATAGGTCTATATTTCACATCTAGATGACAGAACTTATATTACTTTAAAGAGTTCATCTATTTATGCTGCAATTTTTTGAAGACCTGTCTGCTTTTATTGAACTCTGCATGCTGGCAAGCAAAGCTAGCACTTCATCACCAAAATGAAAGAATTCATTTTGACATTTTTCTATTCCTTGACTATATTGGTAGATCCCATACAAGCCAATCACAGTACAGGAA